TAATAGGGTTGCTATGAGTCATCGTCCACTTGAAGGCACATAACAACAACCGTACTCTAAGGTGACTTGTATATTAATAGATATGTAGATCCATCTAGGAATTTGATGAGATTCCCTTTTGAAAGAGACTGACTTTTAACAACTGGAACAAGAGTAAAGTTGATGCCCATCAGAACTCCTTTCCAGGACTTTAAAGGGAGCTAGCGAGGATGCTCACTCACAGCCATCATCTAGATCCACTGAAGTGGAAGTAGGAGACATACAGCAATAAAAAGAGGCTGAGCTTGGACATGTTCCTTCAGCACTGTCCACCTAATTTGCATATATACGTGGTGTTGGTTGGGGTGTCACATGCCATCAAGTGGCAGGTGACTCATAGCGATCCTATGTACTATAGCTCTGAGCTCTGCTCTATCCTAAGCCAGTCTCACTGTCTCTGACACACCCACCTCCATTACCCCATTACTGTGTTAATCCATCTCATCCAGAGTTTTCCTGTCCTGTGCTGTCCTTTTACCCTTTCGAGCATGATGTCCTTCTCCAGGAATTGCCCCCCTCCTGGTCACATGCCCAAAGTACATGAGACAGAGCTTCAAAATCCTTGCCTCCCAGAAGCAACATGGTTCCACCCTTTCCAGGATAAACCTGTTTGTTCTCTTGGCAGTCCATGATGATATGTTCAATACTCTTTTCCTGCACCACAACTGAAAGGCATAAATTCTTTTGTCAACCCTAGTCATTGACTAGCTATCAGAGGCATAACAAGTAATTGTAAAGACCATGGCCTGAAGCAGGCGCACCTTAGTCTCCAGATTGGCATCATTCCTCTTTAGCATTTTGGAGAGGTCCCTGCCAGCAGCATTCACCAGAGCAATCCGTCTTTTGATTTCTTGACTGCCGGTGCCAAGAGTGCTGATTGTGGACCTGAACAAGCTGAAATTGTTAACAACTTGGTCTTTTCCTCCATCTATCATGGTGCTGCCAATTGGCCCAGGTGGGAATCTTTGTTTTCTTGATGTTGAGTTTCAATCCATATTGAAGACTATAGTCCTGACCTCCTGGAGCAAACACCAGGTCCTCCTCAGTTTTGATGAGCAAGGTTGTGTTGTCAGAAAAAACAAAAAGGTTGCTAGCTTGAAAAGCAGACAATTATTATGCTTATAAACCTAGCCCTGTGTGAGAACTAAGGCTGAGTGAAGGAACCAATGAGTCTGGAATGCAGGGAAAAGTGTGGACTTCTGAGTTTGCAGCTGATGCACATTGGCCAGAACTCAGCCAAATGAAGTGACGATGATCCATGCTATAAGCAAGTGTTGATTGCTGCAATCCGATGGCTTGCTCTGGACTGCACTTTGCTTGTGGGTGCAGATGCTCAAAGTTTCCAAACTGAACAGAATATTCTTCAGCAAAAGGGACATGCTTGTTCCCCAGAGTCCTGGATTGATAGGGATAGGCAATTCCAAAGTTGGCTACCTACAATGAGGATATTTAGGGCATGAGGCAAGAACTAGCTGGCTTACATACTTTCACAAATGTAGTTACTACTAAGATGATCGATTATAAAGGGAGAAAGAACCCATAATTTGCATCAATGAAATGTAAATGAAAGATTATATAAAGTTCAATGTACATATATAAAACAATGTAGATGAGTGATAAAATAATAAAAAACCAAAAACACACAATGTATATGGATGATGAAAATATTAATTAAAAACAAAAACATGCAATCCACATGTATGAAACACAAAAGGAGAACATGAGTGACTATATGCAAAACAATAAAAATATATAATTTTTTAATTTCATTTTAAAAGTAATTTTACAGTGTTTCTCAATAGGATGTATATGCAGCGGAGATGCTTAACTTACAGCTGTTGGGTTATGTGTATTAACAAGCATCAGTGGTGATATATAATAAATATATAATCACATGATCTCAAGGATAAGAATGGACAAAGGTTTTGAGTTGCACATATCAGTTTATGAATATGTACTTATGTGTATGTTGTGCCAGTTTCTTCTTCATGATGAAATGTAGAGCTAATAAGACTGAGTTGAGATCAACTTGATGGCAGTGAGTTTTGTTTACTTTCTGAGTGAAATTAGACATAAAATGTTTACCACTGGGCAAATTGGCAGCACCATGACAGACAGAGAAGAGATTGAGATTGTTAACCGCTTCAGTTTGCTTGGCTCCACAATCAACAATTTTGGTACCAGCAGCCAGGAATTCAAAAGACAAATTACACTGGGAAAATCTGCTGTCAAGGACCTCTCCAGAGTACTGAAGAGCAACGATGTCAGTCTGGAGACTAAGGTGTCTCTTTGTGTCTCTCAGCTTAGGCCTATCACATTCTTGTTGTTTTTCTATGTCATGGCTCCATCGTGTTATTCCGGGCCTTCCTCCATCTTTGACATTTTTCATAATAAGTAGATGGCTTACATAATTGGTGAGTCGTGGAGGGCTTACTATATGCCACTCTTCACTCTCTCCTGAAAATGAATTTTCTACAAAGAATGTGCAATCTCCTCTGCTCTTCCACACCAGTGTTGTCTACTGCTGCCGTGACTGAGTTGGGCAAGCCTGCCTACTTCTCGGGTCTATTTTTATCATGCACATTTGCACACAAATATTGGGAAATAGGAAGAGACCTAGCTGGAAAGGTAGATTAGAACCAGATTGTGGAGAAGAGCTTCTTGTACCTTCATTGCATGATATCCTGAAGATTCTTTTCAAATTTAGAAACAATGATAAAGAGTGGAAAGAGTCTATGCAACTGAGCGTAAAGTAATAATGTTTTTTACATCTAGACATGTTTCTAGAATGGGGTGGTTCTTGGGGAAATATGTTTTGATAGTGTTGCAGAGGTAGAAATGAGGTGTCAGTAATTTAAATTATGGGTAGAGGTTGTAGTTTTTTTTGTAAAGTTTTTGTATTCTAAGGTACTGTTTGTTGTTGTTGTTGTTGCCGTTGTTGTTAGGTGCCGTCGAGTTGTAGATGACTCATAGCGACTCTGTGAATGAAAGTCCTGAGCACTGTTCGTACATAGTTTCCGGAGGCAAGCCATTTTGGAAGTGGATGCCGCTCCTGTTTCCAGGCTTGTTTTAGTCAGGAAGCTCCAGCCAACACTGTCCACCAAGGGTACCCGTTACCACGTTTGGCACATCAGTGTCCCAGTGTTCAGCATCACAGCAATCACGAGTTACCTCTATACAGCAACGCACAGACCAGTTTGAACAACAGTCCTGCTAAGGCAGAATTTCTCTAGTGTGATCTATGGACCACCTGTGTCCGAGTTTCCTGGAGAGCTTTCAAAATGCAGGTTTCTTCTGACTGCTACAGTTCTGCCAAGCCAGAATCCCTAGCAAGGACACAGCCTAGGAACAAGATTTTAACCTTCTCCCCAGGTGATTTCTATGCTCATTTTATTAAGCGTATCCTAGGAGCACTATGGCCTCATAGGTAAGGAGTTGCACTGCAAACCCAAAGGTGAGTAGATGGGGTCCATCAAGTGTTCCACAGGAGAAAGATGGGCAATCTCCTCTGAGGGTCAGCTGTGGGTCATTTCTGACTGGATGGATATAGCATCACCACCAGCAGCAGCAGTCCTGCAGACAGGGAGCTCTGGTGGTATAGTCTGTAGAGACTTGTGCAAAGGTTGTGTGTGTGTGTGTGTGTGTGTGTGTGTGTGTGTATTGCTAAATCAGATTACTGATCATTCTGGTTCTTCAGCATGCTCATTCTTTAAAATACCAGTATACCAGAAGTCCTACCAAGGACTCGGCCAAAGGACAATCTCTGCTTTGGCCATCTTAAGAACCTCTAATGGCATGGTGTATTATGTGTTACACTGTTGACTACAACATCAGCAGTTTGAATCCCCCAGCCACTCTGTGGTATAAAGTTGGGCAGTTTCCTCTAGTAAAGATTTACAGCCTTGGAAATGTGATAGAGGGTCCCTGAGAGTTGGAATTGACTTGATGGCAGCTGGAATGTGCTTGACAAACTAGGAAAAGAATAGAAAGTTTATAATCTTGAAAAAACAAACACTGACTTTAATCCTTTAATGATGCATGGGCCTTTATGTCACCCACCCATCAATATTTTTAGCCTCTCAATTATCTCATGTATCGAAGGGAAGCTCTGTTGATTTTGTGGTAAGGAGTTGGACTGTCAACGTAAAGGACAGTGATTTAAATCCACCAGCTGCACCACGGGACAAAGATGGAGTGTCTCCTCTGTGCAGCCTCTGAAAACTTACTGGAAGGTGAACTATGAGTTGATTCTGACTCCGATGCACAGAACGGCAATTTACCTGAGAAGCGACTGTCCGAGCTCTGGTGTGTGCTGCTGCCTGTATGAACCTGGAGAAAAGGGCCTCACCACACCAATCCTGTCACTTGGGACTTTTATATCCCATATGTTATTGTTATTGTTGTTGATTGCCTTCAAGTCGAGCATGACTCATAGCAACCCTATGAAAACCCCTCTACAACTATCGACATTTATCAAAGTTTGTAGAGTTTCCAGGAGCATGTTGTTTAGGAAGTGGATGCCATGCCTGCTTCCATATCCCATATAACTGTATATGGGTTGGTTGGTTTGTTTGTTTGTTTGTTTGTTTGTTTGTTTGTTTGTTTGTTTTTTAAAGGCAATATGGATTTCACTATCCTATATAATTGTATTGAATTACCTTATTAAAAACCCCAACTTATTTTCCTTTGATTTCAGCATGTCTTCCATTACTGAAAACACATGATATCAGGGGAAAAAAATTGAAGCATGAAAAGATTAAGAGGAGGGGTGTGGAACATTTCCATTCTTCCAATCAGGGCTTTCATCTTCTGGTTCCAAGTGACTAAGGGCAGGCAGATGGGAACTAGAACACATGGAACATGCTGAGGCCTCAGCTGCAAATTTCTACGTCACCACACTGCCTTCTCTTTGGAAAGTGGGGGGAGATGCTCTGCTTAGGCCTGCTTTGTTTCTCTTACAGATCATGCAGCAGATGAGTGACCACCGCTATGACAAACTCACCGTGCCAGACGACGTGGCTGCGAACTGTATATACCTTAATATTCCCAGCAAAGGGCATGTGTTGCTGCACCGAACCCCAGAAGAGTATCCAGAAAGTGCAAAGGTAAAGTCCTATCCTCTCTGGTCCCTGCAGCTGGTGATAGTATTCTTTCCTGGAGTCACAAATAACAGGTCCCTCCTTGACTCTCTAAACTTAGAGGGACAGCAGGAGCGAGGAAGACCCTCAATGAGACAGATGAACACAGTGACTACCAAAATGGACTTGAGCATGTTGGAGATTTTCAGGCTAGTGCAGGATCAGACAGGGTTCTGAAAATGTGGCTCATAGGTTCACTCTAAGTAATAATCAACTTGATGGCATTGAACAACAACTTTATCCCCTATATATATATCAAATTGTTATGAAAGCAAAGTGGAACATTAAAGCTTGGGCCAAAAGGACATGTAATTTAGCTCATTTTTCTCATCGTTTCATTGGTCACTAATGCATTCATAGTCAATGAGACTTTCACGCCTGGTATGGAAATCTTTTCAAATAAACGCTTGAGTCTTCCAAGCCTGTGCTCCAGCCCTGATTGAATGCACCTCTGCACTGTCAGACACTCATTAGGCATCAAGACCTGCAATTAGGTGGGCAGCTGTGTTGCTGTTTTTTGACAGCTCTGAGCTGCCCCTTATCAGAGAGTCTCTTAGTTCTCAAGACAGAGGAACACAGACAATAAGCACCGAAGAGGCGGGGTTTGACTGTCAGAGCTGAGAAACAGGATCTGTATTTTTTAAGTATCAAGAAACTCTTTCTGTCATGAGGTTAGAACAGGAAGAAATGTAGTATATTTGGAATCAGCCTAAGGGTCCTCGTAAGAGAAGCTCTGCATTTGTGTTCTAACAAAGGAATTGTCCCTCCATCTGGAATTCTTTCCAGTATAAGAAAGATCTCCCCTGCGTTTCAGGGCGCTCTGCCGAGCTTGTCTGTCTAGTGTAGTAATTTCAGTCAGTCCTGCCAAGCAGATAGAACAGTCCTCACCCATAGCTGCTTCTAACATCCAAATCGTCTAGGCATTTTTGGCATCTTCCTTTCTGCCCAGAGGAATAAGATGTTTTCACTAAGCAGTCCAGAAAAGAAGAGGCTTTAGTAACCACTGATTCCCCTTAGTGCATTTTAAAATGGAGAAGTATTATAAAACTTCTACTTTTAAAATGTGTGATTACTATACAATTATGCCCTTTGTCACAAGTGAAAAAAGATGAAAGAAAACATGATTTTCTCTCTCTGTGAAAGAATAAACTAAAAATAAAAATTAGTATAATTAGTAAGATATGTATAAAAGTCTGAAAGGGGAAAGCGAGGGGGGCAAAAGCCCAAAAGGGTAAAGGGGCTCTCCCCTGGATCCCAAAGTAAACATGCTGCTCTTTGGATTTAAAAAAAAAAAGGGTAAAGGGGGATATCTGAAGGGCCGCAGAGTTTGGTGGGCTGAGGGGAGTAGTGAAGGAATTAAAAATGGTTCCTTGGAGACCTGAAAACATGGGGCAATGGTAGGCATAGATCTATGGTGATTAATTTTACAAACATCGTGTACATGAATAATCATATGTAACACAATGTGGAAGGAATGTGTGAAACATGATGTACATTAATGAAACAGTGTATATGAATTTTGTATGCAAACCAGTATAAATCCTTCCATTCATTGCTGTCAAGTTGAAAGTGACCCATAGCTGACCCTCCAGGAGGTTTTAAATCACTCAGAAAAAACTGTTCATCTTTCTCTGTTGGAGCTACTAGCCAATTTGAACTGCCACAGAGATAACACCTTTGAGGTAACAGAAAGGCTTCCAATGGACTATGCATGCCCTTAAAGCTCCTTTGTTGTTGTTTGTTGTTGTTGTTAGGTGCTATTGACTCCTTAGAGAAATAAAATACTCTTGACCCCTGACTGGAGAGATTTAATGGCATAGTCCACAGGGATTTGCACTGTTAACCTAATGCCATGCCTCTCTAGTGGTTCAAATCCACTGGCAGTTCTAAGGAAGGAAGATGGGAAATCTCCTTCCATGTGATTTACAGCTTTGGAACTCCCATGAAGGGATGAGCCATGAGTTAATGCCAACTCAATGGCACTGAGTTTTGAGGGACCCCAGATTGCAGTCAGACCCTAGACAGAGAGAGACTCCTTTGTCAGATGAATATTTGGTCTCATACTGTAATGTACATCAGGGCTGTTTAAAATCCAGGTTCCCAGATTCACCCAGACACACCCTGGATTCTGCAACATCAACAAGCATAAGAGGCACAGAACACATTTTGAAAAACCACAGGTCTGGATCACTCATACCTCTTCAGCCACATTGATAATCTTACAACCAAATGATCATGATTTCATTCTGAGTTGAGGCCTTTCACTGTCAGTGACAGTGACATCAATAAGAGCCCCACTGACTGAGTGGTCTCCCATGCCTCACACAGTGCCAGCGTGCTGCCTGCGTTATCTTATTTAATCTCTGCAGCAGCCCATGAAAACAGTATTACTTCAGTCATACAGAGTAGTGAACTGAGGCTCACAGGACAGGAAAGGTCCTTAGGCTGAAGTGACACTTCAAGTAGTCAGATTTGAACCCACCTCTGTCAGGTTCCAGAGCTTTCAGTTAACCACTGCACTAAATTTGAATGAGCACAGAGCTCCTGAAAGAAGCAGGATAGATGGCTGTTAGGCAGTGTCTTTTTTAGGTGATTTGTTTTTAAAATGTGCTTTGTTTGATTGTCAAAGTAAAATCTGGTGACTGCTAATTTGCAGGCTTGACACATTCTTTGAACTAACTGTCAAAAGATGCTGTAAAATTTACACCTGTAATTGAAAAGCTGTTTGACTTGAAATACATTACTTAAATTATATTTTGTCAAAATTTCCCAGTGGTTTTGATAAGGGAGGAGGGAAATTACAGTTTAGAGAGTTTTAAGTGTGGAGATAAAAAAGGAATATTCAGATTGAGGACATGACCACCCACTTTCATATCTTACTACCAGTGACAATGGCAGAGTAAAGGCATATGTAGTAACAACCACATTTCTGACATATTATTGGTTTTGCATTTAAAACATAGAGCTGGTTAACCAGTTGCTGTTAGCTCTTTGAGTATACTCAAAACCTCACACTCATTGCTATCGAGTCAGAATGGACTCCTAGCTGACTCCAGCACAGTGTGTAGCAAGTTGCGCTGCTGACCCAGAGGCTACAAACCTCCAGTGGTTTGAATCCACTAGCAGGACATTGAAAGGAGAGAGCTGAGCAGAAACGCCATGGACCCACAGTTGGACCCATGAGAGCAGATCAAGACAAACACTCACAAATATGTCTTTACTCCCGAGGAGTAAGGCAGATGTGAAAACATAACCCTTTCTACCTTATGTTTTATTTCCTCTCTAGATTTATGAAAAGCTGAAGGACCATATGCTGATCCCCGTGAGCCTTTCTGAACTGGAAAAGGTGGACGGGCTGCTCACTTGCAGCTCAGTGTTCATTAACAAAAAGGTCGATTCCTGAGGTGCAGAGTCCCCCCGAAGGTGGCAGTCCTGCACACACCACGCCGATGACTCTGTTCCCACCTCTGTTGTTTTCACTGACAATCTACTGTGCCACTGTGCTACTAACTCTTGTTTACAAAAATTTAATTTTACCTTTAATTGCTTTCTTTTGTGCCCTACCCTCACGGTGGTACTTAAACTGTGGATTTGCAAAATGAATTACGCAATCTAGAGAATATAGAGCTAATGAACTACTGAAATGTGCATAATAATCGTAAGGAAACACTCATTTTACTGTTTGTGTTCCCAATGTGGAAATCACTTAGTTGCCGATATACTGGGAAGAATGTCTTCTTGATCAGTCAGAAAAACTGTTGTTTTTGCTTTCTTTTTCCTCTCATTAGTCATCTTTGGTACCTGTGAAATTCCCTGGTCCATGTATCTTCCTCCCTTCCGCTTTACTGGACACTCAGTTTTCTTTCCAATTATTTTCTAATGTCTTTCCCACTTGTATTACCATCACTTGACCTTGTGCTGCAGGTTCACCCTGTCCACAAACGGGATCCTTGGAGGAACCTCAACTTTAATTGGAACAGGACTGTTAGGGAGATGTTACTTCATAGAGACACTTCCTGGCCAGGTTTGCCCCAGAGATCTAAATTCCAGAAGAAGTAGGGCACCACACCTCGGAAGGTAAACTCAGCACCAGATGGTTGTTAAGAGATTATAGATCAGGAAGCTTGGAAACAGTGCAAAGTCTTAGAAAGTCTGTCAGTCACATTCTATGATAATGTTCGTTTGTTTGTTTGGTTTTTTTCTTCATTATAAAATTTATACAGACCTTATGCTAAAAGTCTTATTTCTTTGTTCATCCTGTCTCTATTCTCCGCACCCTGACTCATTCTCTTTTCAACCATCTACCAAAATTATACTGTTCTAGTATGGTAAGCAGTGTCACATCTAACCATTATTATTAGTGGTCAGTACCAATTAATGGAATAGATTAGCCCAGATTGAATAGAGCCCCAAGGCCATGGTTCATTCACGAAGGGTTAGAAACCAGCCTCAGACAATGGGCAATTCTACTTTGGAATGTCTATGAGTGTTTACTGTAGAATTCAGGTGAAATTTTTTTTTCCAATCCCACAACTGTAAAAGGACAGATGCAGCCTCTTGAAAGAACAATATCACATTGAGGGAAGACGTCATTGTCTTTTACTTAAACCTGAAAGAACTGGCCTATTAGCAGGCCAGGGAAATGGTACTTTCCAAGGGATAGTGGTGACTGATTCAGGCATGTTATCAAACTTCCTTATCATTTACACTTTCCTGTATTGCCTGTGGCTTGTTATCTAAGATAAAGAATCCGGAAGATAAAGAAATATTTTTCAGTGTTGCTCTGCTCCCCTATGTTTATAATCAAACATATTCTACGTTGATGACCATCATTCACTTTAACTCCCATTTTACAGATGGAAGTGATAAACCTCTGAAACCACTGTCTTTTGCATTTATTTTATTACTTTACACCAATAATTAAAAGGCATTTCTTTCATTCCTCTTCTATGTTGCTTAATTTTTAAATTCATATCACATGCAGTTACTTAATTATATGTCTCTTGTGTATGAACCAATCTGAGTCACTGTCGGATTCCAAATCATCTCATGAATAGCGATATAGGGAGTTCCTAGTTATGAATGAGAAAAATTCCTAAGTGTATATTTAAGTTAACTATTTAAGTTAACTGGATATGTCTGTCAGAAGAGGTGCAGAGGGTTCTTATTTTGCCTTAAGTTAGTGTGAGAAAAGGCTCCCAGGTTTTTCAGTGATTTCAAAGTGGCCCATGACAGTGATAGTGATAAAGAATTTGCTGTGAGTAGAGTTTGGCTGAGTCGTTTCAGTGTGAGGAGACATTTAAGGGCAAGTGTGAGTTGTCTATAAGTCAGTTGTTCTTAACTTGGAGACTCACTGTAATTTATTTCTTACTAGAAAGGGAATGAATGTTAACCACATGCCTAGATTGGGAAATCAGATCAGTTGTCCTTTTGAGTTGATCTGACCCTCTACTGACTGGCAAGAGCCCATCTTCCTTTAAAAGGTCAACATCTCTGAAAGAACCACAGGAAATTTTACCTAATTAGCCAGTTTGGGCTTAATATTATATTAAAGAACTGACATGTTTTGTTTTTTAATTATCTCTCCTCCTTTAATGCCAAACTAAAAAACAATCTGTTATGGTTAGTCAATTGCAAGAGGATATTTGGTTTTTTAAACAATCAGAGGCTTGTTTTCATCTCTTTCCTTTGCTCCTTTTCTCTATTTCTTTCTGTCTCAAGAAATCGCTCAGAATCTCTATGCTTCTCATACAGAATCATAGTCTGTGCCATGCCATTACCTGCTCAGCGGGCCTCTTTGGATTCCCTTTGTGCTGTGATGATGTGAAAACCTAAAACACTTGCAGCATAATAATATTACTTCTTTCATGGTTTTGTCCACATACTGTTACCTTTGAGAAGGAAAGATTGTGCATTACATCGTTTCCTCTCTCTTGTCCATTACCATTTAAATGGATAAATACATGCATAGAAACTGCTTTATGTCTTTATAAAGACATTAAGAGATGTTATTTAAGTAAGGAAAAGTTGAGTCATGATTACTTGGCCAGTAACATTCCTTTTAATAAGAACATTAAAGAGAAAGTATATTATTGAACATTACCTCTTCAGCTATGATGGATTGCTACAGAAAACAGGCAGATCTCTAATGTGTATTGATTGCTCTTTTAAGCTATTGAGAACAGATAACTAAAATCATCCCTTCATCTCTAAGGGGGGGAAATAGTCTGGAGGTGAATAATGTGGCTTTAATATAGAGATGCATGGTAGTCTGTAATTATTTACTCTTTAACATTCTACAGAACTCAAACATGACTTCAACGTGGTGTTCGATTTGTGCATTTTCTTTTACTAAACCATGTTACTCCCGCCAGTGTATGGTTATTCACTCTGTGTGCCAAAACCAGTAATGCCTTTCACGATCCTTTAGTCCAGAGAAGTTCTGCACTGATTTTGGTCTCTTGCTGTCCTGATCCTATATGTATACCAATTACGATGGAATAAAGTGTGAGTTGTACTGTGATCAACAGTGTCTGTGTCTTTTTTTGTACCTGTAACCACCATGGTAAATAAAGACATCATTTCTTTGCTGTCAGATGGGATGTTTTATCTCTTATCCTGTGCTCTGTGGAATTAGAACTGTTATTCTTATACATCAATAACCATCAAAAGCTTAGATTAAAGTTATATCTGGCAGCATAGTTTGTACATTTGAAAACCATATATGTTAGCTCAAAAGACTGGAAAAGAACCTCAATGAGTTTATGCTAATGAGGGAGGAAGAGGAAGTAAAGCGTGATGAAAATGGTTGCAGAGCCCCAAGAACAGAATCGGTGTTATTGAATTGAATATGCAGAAACTGTTGAATTGGATGTTTTGCTGTGTATATTCTCAAGAACAACAATGACATATTTTTCTCAACCATGTATGTTAACCATACTAAAGACAGCTTGATTTTACATGTGCTTCTCCTTAAAAGATTTCCTTTCTCCCCTTCTACACCTAATAGTGTTATTGTTGTGACCCTCCAGGATTTTCAGAGGCTGTAAATTGTATCAGAGGAGATTGCTCAGACTTCTCTCACAGAGCAGCTGGTATGTTCGAACCACATGCCTTTTAGGTTGGCAACACAACTGCTTACCCCCTAAACCACCAGAGTCAACACAGTCTCTGACTCCATTGCAAAGGCTTGTTCTCATCGCCTGTGAGTTGGGTCCAACTCATAGCTAACACTCCACCAGATTTCCATGGTTTCAGATCATCTAGGGGGAAACTGCCCATCTGTGTCTGGTGGAGTCAAACTGCCAGAACAGTTTATCTTTGAGTTAGCAGTACAGCCCCCTAGGAACCTGCCCTCCAGAGCTCCCTATTATGAAGACAATAGAGCAGGATTTTTTTCTGTTCATGTGGGAGTTTGTTGTGTATTGGTTTTGTAAATTTTTTAAAACAAATTATTTTAGGTATCTTCTCTTCTAGGGAGTTTGAGAAGTTTTTAAAAATAAGGCTTTTATAATTACAACAGTTCTCTCCACACAAAAGGCAAGAGACTTTTTTTATCCTAATTGTAAAAATAATAACTGCTCACAGGGAAAATAAAATTCAAGCAAACAAAACAACTACATTAAAAAGAAAGTAAAGAAAATAAATCACCTAAAACTTCATCACCCAGAGATAACAAATTAACTTTTCAGACTCTGTCCCTTTGTGCATCTATGAATAGACACAGCCATGAATATGAATAATTTTACATAATTAAACTGTTTTGTAGCCTGTTTCTTTCACTTAGCAATATAGTGTGGGCACCTATCCATGCCAGTAAATAGAACTCTACATCATCAATTTGATTATCACTGTGTATTCTACTATATGGTTTTCGAAGTAAATCTTTCTCATCTATACAAAGTGCTATATATATCACAGATGGTCGGTGTGCCTGCATTGTCATTAGCTGGGGGTCCCCAGTGTATCAAAAATGTGAAATAAGCTTTCACATATGCTGAGAGCCAATTCAATCTGGGGTATTTTTATTATCACTGAAATGCTGATATGTGAATGCTCATCACATTCACAGACCACTAGTCAAATTCCTTGGAGAGGAGGTCACTGATGATACCACACCTTCTCAGTTGTTGGTGTTGCACAGATTAGTTCTCCATTGTTTAGGCTGAACTACGCTTGCAAACCTACACTGTCCCCCAGCAGGACACAAAACCCTCAGCCTAAGGCCAGAGTGCTGTGCTCCTCATTGAAGAGAAATGGGACTTTTTAAAGGAAAAATTAGAAGGGATTCCCTGGCTGACCTTCCTTTAAACTTTGTAGAGGAAAGAAAATAATAAGGGCAAAGGGAATTCCCTCTCATAACAAGCTGTAGACTCTGAAATGGGAATGATGCAAAATTGTTATTAAGTGTCATTGAGTCAAATAGGACTCATAGTGGTCATGTGAACAACACATCTGAATCCTGTCCTATCCTGAGCCTTTCTAGTCATTGCTGACACACTCAAGCCCATTGTAACAGTCACTGTATCAATCCATCTGTTGAGGTATTCCTCTGTTTCACCAACCCTCCATCTTTCTAAGTATTCTCAAAGGAATAGCCTCTCCTAATGACATGCCCAAAGCATGTGAGACAAAGCAGCAACTTTGCTTCCAAGGAGCACTGTGGCTTCACTTCCTCCAAGACATATTTGTTAGTTCCTTTGGTAGTCCATGGGATATTCAGTACTCTTCTCCAACACCACAGCTCCAAGGCATCAATTTTTCTTCTGTAATCCTTATTCATTGTCCTCCTCTCAGATGCATAGCAAATGATTGACAGACCATGACCTGAATCAGGCACACCTTAGT